CCAATCAGTTTATATTAGGAACAGCAATAAAACGTTTATATATTCATTTTCATCGAGCTTCGAACACCGTACGGATATGTCATAAGTGACATATACTTTTATATCACGAATTTATATCGAACTTTTTATGCCTCGAGAATAGACATCCGACATTCAGGAGGGCAATGTTACGTACTGAAAATTGATCAGTAGTACAAGTTAACGCAAGTTGAATCCCTAAACGAGTTATTTTAAAATAACAAATTCACAAATACAACCACGTCCGCTTCAGAGGAAATATTTTGCTCGAAAACATTCTTATCCGGATAGGTTCGCGTGCACGTACGGGTCGCATAAATATTTCCTTAGAATGCATTTTGCGTGCATGAGTCCCAGCGTCATATCACGTATGCATACGTAGGTACGTATCTCTCAGTGGATCATCTCGTTGTTTTGTCGAAGTCGTTACATCCGACGTAGACAGCGGCGTGTAATCCTCGAACAACGTGGATAAAGCCGCGTTGTATGCATAACAGGGTGAACTTGTCAGGTGGGTGTCAGTCAAAGCCATTTTATCCTCGACCGGCACCTAATCAGACTGAAAATGAATTTTTTTCCGACGCTTTGAAGGAAAAATCCGCGCGCGAGTAAAAGATTTTCTCGACGAGACTTCAACGTTCTATGCATGTCGCGACTTTAATTCTATCGCAACTTATCGACCAACTTACTTCATGAATCTTCGTTTTCCTATCAAAACCGCTGGCCGAACTATCAAACTCGCAAACGGTTGAACGCGCATCGGTCCTCGGTAGCCTGAAATATTCACATGAAGCACATTCAATATTTAAAGTGCTTTTAAATGCATGTTTCACCGCGATTACGTTACGCTGTTCGAGCGCGTGCAACGAATCGACTATTATGACCGTCGATGCATACGTGTAAGTTGACTACATTTTTCATGCTCTCACGGTTCTTTATTTTCACGATTATTCCTTTCCCCCTTTCATATTCGTTCGTTTTGTTTTTTCCATATATGCGCGAGCACGAACACGCCAGTCTATAATAAAAAGGTTCTTGATTTTCAACGTATACGCTTCGATTGGAGGGCGAACGACGGGTTATTTGCATGTTTCTCACGATTTCATCCCTCGACCTTAGTCGCTCCGGATCTGTCGTCGTCCTCTTTAGCCAGGACTAAGATTGCGAATAAATTCTTTTTTTTGAGAACGTCGATCGATGCCACGAGTGGATGACGCTACCCAAGGAGCATCCAAAATCGAATTTGTTCTGGCTCGTGGCGGCACGAGTAGCTTGGTTGGTCGTATATAACAATCAGGGCTTATCACGGTTCGTCAGTAAAAGGCTGACGAGGCGTGGGTCAATCCCAGCCCGGTCGATAAGGTCATCGAGCCACTGAGCAGAGTCATTTGCCGACACCGGCCAGCCACCTCGTAGAATTATCCTCGTTGACGAGCGGCCAGGGCTTAGTGGCCGCATTAGGGACACGAATTTCTTCCGGAGATTCGCGTAAGACGAACGAGAAACACGTCTCCGGGTCGAGAACCGGGAAACGCCGGAGAATCGAGCTGGCCCAATTTCTAACGAGCCTGGTTAAAACTCCAACCCACTCGTCGACTTTGAACTGGCTAAATTTTCTGAACGAATATTTTTCTTCCGGTATGATGGAATCTGCAACGCCACGACTTTTTACTCGCGTTCGAACTCTCCGTGTCCCGAAATCGGTCATTCGACGCGATCATTCGCGAGCTCAACGATCTGCTTCCGGACCGAGTTATTTGTCGATATCCTCGAAATGTAGGGTGACCACTTATTTTCGCGACAAAAGTGGTAAAAGCGTTAGATCGATACTCATCGAATATAACGGGCCAGTTTGAAACTTTACTAAATTTTCTTGCCAATCCGATATATTCCGTGTCATTTTCGACTTACCTAGGAGTACGGATACAAGAAGTCCGGAGATAAATTTAGTCCAATAAGTATGAAACTGTATCCATTACCATTAATTGAACTTTACACGGCGAAACATCTTTCCGTTTGTACAGCGAACCGTGGCCCTATCCGCCAAAACGAAGAAGAACGTATTTGTAACGGTGAATAAACGGAGACGAAGTGAATAACGATCCGGCCGAAGATAAAGTTTGAATTGCCTTTACCAGAATTGCCGCCTAAGTGCATTAAAACTTCAAGCAGTTACCAACTGGGATTACCATGGAATGTCTCCTGTACTCTCCGGATTTTGATGCCGCGAAGTTCTAATTCGTTGGGTTCATTTGACGATCGCACTTCGATCTCTGTCCTCGTTTTCACGCCTTCCCTCTTTTTCCCTCTGTCCTAATTGCTCCTCCCAACGAAAGCTCGCGATGCCGGGGTAGAGAATTGAACGCGAACAAACTAAACCGCGTGACATTCCATCGAAATACACGCGAAATCAAAGCTATGATTCGAGAATCAAAGGGCGAACAGGCGTCGGTAGAATTTCCATCGAATTTTATTGGAAGTTCGTGAATGATTTCCGGCGAATATCACCGGAACATATTCCACGTGATTTCGGTCATCGGCCGCACTTCGAATTTATCATCCCTGCGAAACGACTTCGTTCGGGGCTTCGTTCTCGGCTAAAGGGTTCCTTGCATATCAATGAGGATGTAAAATGATCGGTGACCAGGAGTAGCACTTCGAATTACCGTCGAATGTTCCACGCAAAGACGGACCAAGGGATGCTGAATTGGTTCGAATCTCTGGAAAACGTCCTCTCTTGTCCCATTCGAACTTGAACCGATCGCACACACGCGTTTCTGATTTGAATTACAACCATGAGTCCTTTGTGGTCTTCAACCTTGATATGTGCACCGCTCTTGTAACCCGATTACTCCAGTCACATTCCCCTCTGAACCTGAAATTTCAGAACGTTCTGCATCGACCTCGTTCTGGGTCAATTTTCGCGCCCAGCTGCGCGAAGATAGAAAATTGATCAATTTGTTTCGTGTGTTGTTCCGATTATCGATGATTTTATCGGTCGAACGGGAAATTAGGAATGCGCGGGGCATTGTCGCGGACGTTAATGGAATCGGATAACCCGCGTGATATAGACATACTTCCTATCGAAGACACGGATCAGAAACGAGTTAAGATTTTCAGTCGTGGTGGTAGGAATAGATTAGAGTCATCTTTCTGGAATAATGACGTCGGTCCGTGCAAGTCGTTTGGGACACGATATTAACGATTCAAATTTAGCACAGTCGAATGCTGGCTGCTTGATTGCAAGCCAACACCGATCCGACCCTTTAAAACGGGTCAACAGGATACGGTTCCTTGGAAAGGAAAGAAAAGACAGGTTAGGTAGAAAAAAAGAGACGGGATAGACAGAAAGTCGAAACAAAGTTTCCGTAGGCGTTCGAGGCTTCTCTTAATTGTGACGAGCACAATTTCTCAGAGAGAGAAACACGATTTATGGAGAAATCGAAGCGAGTGCTCTATGTAGCGTTTCAACAGCACGCTGGTAAACGTTTTTATTCGAAAATTCAACCTGCTTTCGTCACGCGAAATGTAAAAGCAAAATATTAAAAAATAGGATTTGAATGGGTTATGAGAAACACGAAATAAAAATGCACTTTTGATACTCGACTGTCATATAAATCAACGGCTCTGCTATTATAAATGTTCACTTTTCACTTTTACGCGAGACCAAAAATGATCATTTCTTTATCGTGCTTTCAGGGATGAGTAATACCCCAGCTGAGAAACGGTGTACGAAGGTGAAATCACCGAAGGCAATTCGTGTAGCTGCTTCGAGTGTAGTATCGAAACTCTTGATCAGAAGTGCGTTTGATGGTGTTCAAGGTAAACATAATTGAGCACCGGCAAAATCGTCTTCACTCGAGTGTCACTCGAGTTCCCATTCTGAAATTTAGTTTCAATGATGTTCTAATTGCGTCGAGCGTACTATCCTTGCAATTACTCGACACAAAGCGAATCAGAACAATATATCGTGTCTTTCGGACGAATCAAGCGATTCTTTAGCGGTTAACGAGTCGCGTAAAGAGTCGATTAATAGAATCGTAATTCTTGAATAGCACCGACTCACGGGCGTAATAATCAATTAGGGACGATTGAACGAAGCGGTAATTTTAATGTGGCAAACAATGCCATTAGCATGCAGCTATTATCGGAGATCGAGGCTCGAACTGTGTCACGGTGAAATTATTCCTCTCTCTCCGTAGGAAGAACAGGAGGGGGAAATATATGAATAGAGAGAAGTGAAACAGTGGGGTATAATGAAAGTGCTTATGCACCATGAACCCATCGTATTCCGCTGGTATTTTACTTCGGTAAAGACTCGCGTCTATATTACACCGGTAATGGAAATACTGACTCTATTGTGTACGTCAAAGTGTATGTAACTGACTTCACGACTGAAAAATCCAAGATTTTTCATGAAAAAATACGACAAAAGCAAGAAGTATTTGATGTATCCGGCTTTGTTAATTGCCATCCTTTATACTGTCGATTTTACGCAAACTTCGACATGTCAATGTCGGTTCATCGTATTGAAGCTTGCCGAAGGGGATGCAGGAAAGCTTCGGTCAAACTTCCACTTCTATAGTTCGTGAAAATGTAACAATAGCCTATTATAGGTACTACGAGAGTTTTGAACCCTTCGGAAAATTCCTCCATTGTAAACCTTGACCGGATTAAAAATCGAAATTAACCTCCCACAATATAGAAATTAAGATACTTTGGATAACAAAGGTGAGAAAGTATCAAAATATTCGCAGTCTATTCGTTACTTGGATGCTCATCTCTCTTTCGAATGGCTATACGAGAATATTCGAGTTAATTTCGCAAAATCTCGAGAGACAGTAGCATTCAAGTACGAACAATACGGATTTGTCGTCGTTATTAGGCAAACAAGTTGTGAATAACTGAATGTTCCGCCGCAATCTACAATAACAGCTGGAATTTATATGAAAACTTTATTCAACCGTAAATGAGAGTAACATTGTGCGACGTTCGTAACATATTTATATAGGTATATACATACAACAGACAGTGACAATATCATCGAACATCATATTAAATTATCCTTTAACTTTACGTCAAACAAAACTTTCTCGTCGAGCGCTACACGCTCGAAATAATCTTACTCTTTTTATGACCGCGATAAATCAATCGACCTTTGATTCATTTCGGGGAATTGTTATCGAATCAGTGTACCTGATCTTCGATGCAGCTTACGATAATCTTTCGTCCGGTCGCATCGAGATTCGGTACACTATTACGATCTGCAATACGAGTGGTTTATTATTTTCGCAATTGGATTATCCTCGTTGACAACGTGTATGGACAGGTGGGGTAACTACTTGGGGGATAATGGATAACATGCTGTAATACTAACGCTGCGAAACATCGTGGTCCAGAAGATCGTTTCTGTTCTTCGTCGGAGAACGGAAACGTATCTCTATCAAGGATTTATAATGTACAGGGCACTACAGAACGGAAACAAATTGTACAGTTTAATGGACTCGAATGAAATTAACTCTCGATGAACGCGTGATTCGAGGTTGGTCTATAACATACTTTATTACCTTTATACGAATACTGATTGCCTAAACAAAATATCTTTGAAATATCTTTGTTAAATGCATCGTGTTATTTGTCAATGTGCGTGTATCCTTAAACGAGGTGAACGTATTATTTATGCAAAAGTCACACATTTAAGAATAAACGATTAATCTGCACAATTTATATCCATAAGTTCAGCAACACTCGTATAATTTACGAACAACGATCGACCGACGTCGGAAAACATATGTACAAAAAAAACCATCGAACATAAGAGACACGATTGGCACAACTCGACGTCAGCGAGATCCTTTTTAATATGATACAATTAACACGAAGATTATCACTTGATTCGTGCAAATAGTTTAACATGAAACATGCCCGGCGAAGGTGTCGCCGTTTTACAACGACCCTTCGCGCCCCGCGTAAACGTCGGTTCTTCTCTACACACATACACGTAACACCTGAGCACGGTCATTTTGTGGACGTCAGATAGAACTAATTTGGACATTATGAGCAAGGTTGTCCGTGCGTAGCAAGGCAATAGAAGATAATGTCATTAGGCTGTGCTGCATTACGCCGGGATTATCACGATTAATTACGCGCACCTGTAGGCCGAATATTATGGTATTCAATTAGATCTCGGCGATGCGTGTGTACGTTTTAATTTAATATCGGACGCGGTAATCGTCGAAAACTGGTCGAACTCAATCACGGCAGCGTATACTTCTCGTTTCTCTTTTTCCGAACAAAGTTACGGACCCGGTTTGCCCGACAGCCGTGGCGATCTCTCGTGGGTCGTTGCCATTAACGTAACAAATTTTCACAGTGCGAAAAGAGAGAGAGAGACGGAGAGTTAATACCGCGACCGAATAAAGTTATCGCCACGAGGTGGAACACGGTTTGGAAAGTTTCGGTCGGCAAAATGCGTCGGTTCGCGACAGGATTATCGCCATTAATCGTGCCACTCGTCGCAGACAGATTACACAATTACGCTTCTATGATCGCGATAGTACACATAGCTTACATTTACACGTATCACAACGGTTAATAGAGCGGCGGTGTCGCGTGAAATTCCAGCTTGTGCGCGACATGTATCGTGATCCCGTACGTTCGATTTCGAGTCCCGGATCAAACATAAAATCATTTTTCGAGATACGAGCGACTAAACAGAATCGTTCGGAAGTAATTGTTTGAGCATCGTGGTCTTAACGATACACCGAGAACGCTTCGTTATTTACACAGACATCGTTCGTTACACGATAAACGTATCCGACTTACACTTTCATATCCATGAAAAACAGGGATGCCATCATAGTTCCTGTTTCCACCATTTCTCTTTTATTCCTGGCTCCGTAGTTCACAGTCTCGTTAATCGGCACGTTACAACCCCCTCGTTTTCCGTTTCGACGTAACGCGTACCTCGCCCTTTTCGAAGACGAATTCACGGATCCAATCAGAGTCCAACAACGTATACAACACTAACTGTACCTAGTTCTTTTTTTATTTAAGAAAAGAAGAATCATCACAACCATACGATTACTCGTTTAATTTTGTCCCTGACGAGCGAGAGTGTTGCACGATGGTCAGTTCGTGGTGGTGGAGTGCAACACCAACTTCAACGTGGTGAACATCATCAGCAAAGCGCTGCACGCCATGACAGATGGTGATGACGCGATGCTGTGCTGCATCGCGGCCGGATTATCTCCTTTGAACACGTGCACCAGCACCCAGGCCGGTTGAGCGTTGTTCGACTTGCAGGTGTAATTTCCGGAGTGACGATCGGACGCGCGAGACACCTCCAGCCAACTTTTCCCTCCCGCCAGATCGGTACTGACATTGACCCCTTGGTCGATATCGTAGTTGATCATCCGGAAGTTGTGGTACCAGAATAGATAGGAGGGCGTTTCGGTCGAGTTTTTCACCTGACAATGAAGCTGCAGGGTGCTACCTGGCCTCACGAACTTCTCCGAGTCACCGGCTATCTCTGCTCTGGCCTCTGCAAATGGTAGAACGTGACGCGTCAGACGTGAGCAGCTTACCGTTTTATCCCATATTGTTTACCAGGGTCCAAAGGCGGTTATGAGGAGCGGAATGGCTGAGGTATGCATCGTGGCTGGTTAGGGGTTGTACGGGGATAGCGTACGAAAGCTTCTGCTTGCTCTCTTTCTCTTTAATGCTCGCATGGCCGTCGCTAAAATACACTCTGCGGCAAAATTAACCCTCCGACGGTTTATTCGGACCGTAATTCGTACACAGCGACGGTTATCGAAGTTATTTTATCGAACTGTCAAAAGGTTAAAGAGTCGCCAAATTTTTATCGATCCTTGTACCGTAACCTCGTGCAGCGAAATCGTATCGAAACGTGTCGGGAAAGTGAACCAAGTGGAACAACTCTACGGAATTCCAAATAATTTTTTCTGCGAATCAAATCACCGCGAATGGAAAGATTTCTTTTGATCTTCCGGTCTAAAAAGTCTCGTCGACGGCCGTGCGAGCGTTCGCAAAGCCTTTGTACTATCTCCTAATGATCACACGATTCGGGGAATTTTAGGGTACCTTGATTAGATGGAAACTATAAACCGTACCCCTTTACCGTCGTTCGCCTTGTTCGCCCAACGACGCGGACGGTCTGCTATAGGATCAGGTGTGACGGAACATTGTAAACACGACGACAAAACCTTCGCCATAACCCCCTTCGCTCCCATTGGAAACACTTTTGTCCATCCCGACCCCCATGTGCCGAGCGACCTTCCGTTCAATGGCGCGTCACGGACGAACACGCGCGAGCGAAAGCGTGGATCGAGTTTTAAGCGCTTCTCTGCGTGATACAAGAGCGTGCTCTTTTGAAGCGTGCACGCTCCAAGTGCTTCTGTCGACCATTGAATCGACGATGGGATTGGCTGCGGCGAACTATCGACTGTGTTGGTGCAAATCAAAAAAAAAAGGGCGAGAGAGGAAAAACAGCAGCAAATTCGTAGGTGGACAGAGGAGGCTGTGATGCGTTGAAAATTTATTAAAACATCACGACTCGAGGATATTTCTGTTGATTGTTCGTTTCTGTATCCGATGCAATTTTCCCGCGGTTTGAACGTGATTTTTTATCGTCTGTTCCGATAAAACAATTGTCTTTCAGGGTCTTTTTTTCAACTCGCTGGTTTGAACCAATTTTGTACTCTTTCTCGTTTTTTCCGTTTATTTTGTTTGTCCGGTTTTCAATTAAAGGCTAGAATCATCTTGAACCGCGTTTCATAATTTAGTTTCTTGATTAGTTTTCAAGGAGGAAAGAAATTTTAACTGGTCGCCTCTGAATTCATCGCAGAAATTGAGAAGCTTATTAAATGCGGTGCAGCGTAATCCCTCCTTCATCTATGTTACGAGTTTTAGAGGTGACGTGGCAGTATCGAGGATGGGTAAAATTAGATTCACCCGGTGAAAAGCTCTTTCTATGTACGCGACGATCCCGTTATTTACTTGCTTTCGAAGGGAAGGCTGAATTTTATATTTTCGAAACGTCTAATTACGGCCCTAATGAGACGCCATTAAGGTCAACTCGAGAACTGCCTTCGTTTCGTCAACAATACCGCGATCGTATTGATTCCGAAGTTACGAAGAAGTTGAATTCCTTCCGACTGGATGCATTCGTTAAATACGCCATTACCAACTTCCTATTAGTGGCGATTCAATCTGATTTTCAGCCGACGAAGCTACTCGTGTACCGCCGACACGAACGGTAAAAGCTTCATTCATTTTTCTTTAAACGTATTTTAATTAGAAGTCAGACCAAGGAATACAATCTACTTTTTTTCGTGACAAAGCAATTCTTAAACGAGGAACCGTGGAAAACGTTTCGCGAATACCGATTCGATTAACTCGAACCGACCGATTGATTCACGTTGCTGCGTATCGAATGGACGGCTCCGAAACATACGAGGTTGAACACGATCGATCGATTTAATTCTACGTTTCGATCTTCGCCGTTCGACGTGCAGCCACGTAACAGTTCCGCGCATCCTATCAAACGACAGCGATCGGATTGATTCTTGAAAACGTAACAGGGAGAAATTAGGATAAACGGTGGTTTCGTTACTTTCGGAGCAGACCGCGGACACGGATTACCTTTACATTCATGCATGTCCGAACAACGAGCATAATTAACTGATCGATTTAACACTCGTCCATCGCTTAAATATTTGAACACCTCGATACACCGAACGCGCATTACGCTTCGTCCCGCGTTCCGCGTTATAAACCGTTCTCGCCATTTAACACCACATAAAATGCTCCATAATCGAAACGTCCCGCCAGCCACTCCCGTTTATATATCATCCTTGGATCAGAAAAATCTCAGTCCATGAATTTCAAGCGCGCAAGAAGGAACGTAAATATTACGCGCCCCAGTTTCGGACAGGAGGGTGGAGGGAGGAGGGCGGACATAAATATTAAATGTACCTGAGAAAGGCTCTCGTACGTATCCGTCAGGATGTCACGGTAAAAACACGGCGCCGGAAACCGAAGTAAAATTAGATAACTCTCCCGTACACAAAAGACAACTACCAGTATATAGTCGCGGAGGGTATACACAAATCTATCGTAGGAAGGGTGGGGTAGAGCAGAATACTTCCAAAAACTGGAATCTAAATGCAAATACGCGAACACAGGGATGCGGTTCGAACGACCACGCCACCAACCGAATCTCGTAATTCACGAAACTTCTGCCTCCTGCGCCTGATAAAAACCACTTTCTCGCTATTGATCGGCCCGTCTGCTTAATAAAATCCAGATGAAAGAGTTCTCGCCCTCTCGAGAGGCCTGCTTGGACGGACCTCTTTCACGCCGACGCGTGGATCCTACGTAAATAGGGATGAAAATGTAAACACTTAAAGCGTAGCTCAAGGAGAAAGCTCGTAAAGAGTGGAGGAGAAAAAAAGGAGGCATAAGAAAGAAGAAAAAAGGGAAACGTAAGCCAAAGAAGAATAGTCGATACGAGGAGGTGCTCGAATTCTTAGGCCGCCGTGTTCTTTGAGCTTGTGCATAAGGAAAAAGCGTTTCGCCGGCATATACGGGGTGTTCGACCAAGAGCCTATCGCGTTAAATTCGCTCTTTGATAATTCTGAACGAAAAAATCTTATGTACGAACTATCCATTATATATTGTACCTATTTCGATATCTTACCATTGAATTTTTATCGATATTCAAAGTTACATGTATTAGCTCCTTTAATCTCTTAGGCTCCCCTTAACATACTTTAGACTTTTCCCAAGTCAAGTCTTCAGAGTTTGCCTAGGATCTCGCAGAGGAATATTCGCAAAGAGAAATCAAAATGTACTTTCCAAACTTTTTGTTTGTAATACGTAACATTTGTGAGACAAGTTTGTCTAGTATGTGGGTGAAGTTGAAGTTGCCCTTATCGAACACCCTGTATAGCGGTGGTAGGTTGTTATCGGGAGAAACGTGTTCTGTTTCTGTGAAGTAGGCGAGGATGATGCTCTTTACGTGGTCCTTTCGCAGGAAGCTTTGCCACTTTTCGCGCTCTTCCCGCACTACACAGCCTCCAACAAAAGAGACGTGTGCTTAGTCTATTGTATTTGCACGTTTAAACGTCCGCTCGTTCTATGTAATATTCGTTATTGCCGCTGACGTAATTGCGAGCGGTGAAGCGAAATAGAAACACGCTCGTAGAAGAAAAGAGCAGTATTAACGGTGAAAGGATCGCGGTAACATGCAGCTGTTGTGCGAAAGCTGCGCCGGACGATCGATACCCGTAATCGAAGCGAAATATTTTCGCGTTCGCGCATTTCGATCGTGCCTGTCCGCGAAACGAACCAACGACCACTGGTCTCTTTTTCGAAACGGTTTATTTCAATTTCATTAACCACCCGACAGAATAAACTAGAATTTAATTTATTCCATCCGGCCGGAGGAGCCCAGTTTTCAATCGAGATCGGAAATTCGCGCGAGACACTAAAGTGTATTAAAAATCGATAAAAAAAAACTGTCGGAGGCTGATGTGCAGGGACGTTCAATGGCGTGCTCTAACGAATAAATTATTTCATACTCTTTCATCGTGCGTTGTCACCTGGATATCGGGAATTAATTTGTTAGTTTTATCGTAAATCGAAAAGTAAAAGTGGTTATGTATAACGCGCGATGGCGAGTTATTGACATTCGTATATGAACTAAATTTTCGCGAGTTTATACGATCGAAATGATTTTATTTTGCGTTTCGGGCAATACATCCGATGCAAACTCGGTTTCAAAGCCACCGTGTTAATGAAAAATTTATAGATACCGCGTGCAAAAATAGTCGGAAACAAGCGAACTTCGATCCCCTCCGTATTCAATTTTTGCTTACTCGATAAATCAGCTTTTGGTGTAACGCAAAGTATGCGTAAACAAAAATGTCAAAAGGTAGTTTATGAAATATTCTGTTGGCTCTAAATGTGTTACGCGAACAAATTTGCCCACACTTTCCAAAAAAGAAAACAAATACCGCGAGTAAATCACAGGCGACGTATCGGGTGAAATTCGGACAGGCCCACGGAAATAGCTTAAATATCGGTGTTTAATTTCACGCTTACCAACAACCTCGAGGTACAGAAATATACTTGTGGGTGGATGGGTAGATACTTGGCACTGGTACCATCCGGCATCCCTCGGCTGGACGAATTTTATTTGAAGAGTCCAATCCTCGCTGTTGTGGAAATGAGTTGCCTGGAAGCGTCCGTCGTTGGCGTACGTAATCAGACCGACGGTCAGTAGTTCCTGGACGTCCTTTCGTTTGATCCACGACACCTGGGGAGCCAGGCAAAAAGTCTCGTTAACAAGAACGATCCGTCACCCTTTCTGGCCAAAATTGGTTTGAAAGGACGGATCTGACTGGTGGGATTCCGAGTTCGCGTCCGTGGAACTTCTAAAATTTCACCTGTAACGACTGGAATGTCCGCCTTTATCACAGATCGAATTTTTTATCATTTGTTCTCGTCGAAATTGGAAACGTTCCGCCACGTTAAAAGTCTACCGATAGAAAACGGAAGTAATTCGGTCCTTGTTCGAGCCGACAAATTCGTCCCTGTGCCGGGGATTCTGGATTTTAATTAATCGCTCTGTGGCTCTGTGTTTGCACAATAATTCGAAACTATGAGATTCTTACGTAACCCTGACAACTTCTTCTTCTTCGAAGCTAACCGATATTTTGCTACGAGGACAAATAACAAGCAGTCTGCTAGCGACTCCCGTTGTTCGCTCGTTCGATTCAACGTAATATCGAGGCTCGACCTTCTACTATTGTCTGTTTATTACGGTCAGTAACTACTGAGCCATCGTTACGGGTACTAACCCTGCCATTAGTTAGTATTTTCTATCCACACCGATGGACGATGTCCATTTCGCGTCGGTCATTAATTTTCTCCTCCTCTTGCGGCGATCGATGGTCTTAGATCGTCTTAACGCTGTCGAAGGGCACCGGCAACGATTAAAGAGCCGGCTTAAACTCGTAAATCGATATCGACGGAGAAGAACGTTGCGTTTACACCCTGCTGCGTTGCGTAACGCGCGGCCACGAATGGCTACGTTTTCTATTTACTTAACGAAGCAATTCTCGGTCGCAACGATGCAGCACGCAACTCAAACCTTTACGACTGCTATTTATTCGTTCAGCCGAAAGTTCGGGAGAGCGTAAACGATCAAGCTGCTAGCGTAGTTCGCAACAGTTGAAAACTAGCAACGGTCTGTAAACATCGTACACGTATGACAGTTGGTAAACGTGGTAGGTCAATAACGATCAGTAATTGCCCCGTGCACCCTTCCTCTTGATTCCGTGTAGGTGAGAGCAAGCAAGAAACTGCCCTCGATCAGAATAATTCTAGGACATCGACACACGCCATGATTGCAGAGCTCGTGACCGAATTTCGTGGCTAAACCTATACCTATAGCTGGATTATACGCATTTATTTTAATCTTCGATCGTTCCTCCCTTACCATTTCGTGCAACATTATCAGGAAAGGGGATTGGAAGATTAAACAAACTAAATTCAAAGTATCACCATTTGGAATAAAAAATTTGTCCGAGTCACACAGGAAAACAGACCATCAGAGCATTTTGTAGTAAATTTTTTCTCGACAATATTAGTATCGCATTTATCGACGTTTAGTCATGAATCAATATTAGCGAGATGATGTTCTGTCGAACACGACTGGATCGGGATTTTTGCAAATAAAAGCCAGATATTTTACGCGGTCATAACATTTCTCGCTCTAGATTCACCCCGTGAAATATCGGGGACCGGGCACGATTTATAAAACTTATACGCTCGCCATCGGACGTAAATACACGAGCCACGTAATGTACCGTGACTGGAACGTTGGCCGGTGCAATGATTCGACGACTATGTTCGCGTTTCTCGGATAGTAGTATTTGTAAAATCGGAAGCCTATCGCTAGAAGAGTTATCAGCGAGGGATAATCTTGACCAGCTCGATGGAAGACGACGCTGTTCACAGTCGGAATTGGCCGTGAAAGGGAAGAGAGATCCGTTCGCCATGATAGGACCTTACCTCGCTACGGCTTTATACCCGTCATAAAGTTTAGGCACCTGGTAACGAGGGCTATGAATGCTTTCGCCATGAGATTGAATTCTTGATGTGTTTGTCCTCGCTAAATGTGTAACCTTCGACGTACCGTGTTTCGTTATACAAGCCGGTATAATCGAACGTATTAACACGTTATCATCGCACTTTACCATTGCTAGAAGAAATTTTCATATGTAGCTAATATTTCTACTGAGTTACAGGAATACGAATACTTGATGGCTTCGATAACTTTAGGGCCATAAGCAGAATATTACACTTTCATCATCCAGAGAGGACTTTTATAACGGTACGTAAAAAAATGCAGTCCTTTTTGTAGCGCAAGAAGCGGTAACTTTAATACTTTTAATGGAATGTCGGGTAAATATTTATACTTTCATATGGGTTTCATCAACCTAAACGCGTTTCACATTTTGCAGCTATCAAAAATCGCAACGGAGTTCAAATTGTCTGTACCAATATTTCACTTTTGGTATATATCACGTTTATTCGCGTCAGTTATATTGACATAATGTCAACGAACACGGCACGCAGATAAAGGCCACTGTTACCAATTTTCGAAAAACGTTTTGAACAAAAGTTTACTCTCCTCTTACGCTGGATGTCTTCTGTATTCGTATAGTACGAACAGCTTTGCACGGGATAAAGGAGACGACAAAGTATCGTGTTAATAAAACTTGTATGTTTTAACGGAGATTCAAGAGGGTTGTAAGACGTAGGATAAAATATCGGATCAATCGTTTCCCTCTGCCACTCTGTTAAAAATTAGCTGATTACATCGTCGTGCTTTTAATCTTCTAATTCGTCGCTGGGAAAAAAGAGAGAAATTATCTCGTTGCGCTTGTATCGTAACGCGAAGAATCTTCTTCCTGTTCGAGAGGGTATCAAATACTCAACAAGAGATTAAATGGAATGATTCGTTTGCCAGGCTCACGGAAGAGATTACACACGAACGGTGGAAAAATTGACCGTGGAATTGGAAACGGGGAAATTTGTCTTGCGACGATAAGATCTCTTCCAGACTTTTAAGCTCGTCGTATCGCGAGCTTTTCGTTGAAATAGCTCCGCTTACCACGCGTTAGTCCTTTAACACGTACTCCTCATTAACGTGTAACTCGCATATTTCATGTTGTCCTGTGCTTTTGTGTGAACCACTTCAGAGCTCTTGTTAGAATCCGGCACGGTTTCAGCTGTTTCCCGTCCTCTCTGCTCTCTCACGCGAAACTTTTACGTAAGACGGTCGTCTTAAGACGCCGTGGTGTATTTAAAAAAAGCGGGAAAGGATGCCAACAGCCGGAGAACGAGCAGAGCGATTACCTACACCACCACCAGCATTGGCTGCATCTCGAAGAATAATGAGAACCGACGAATAAACAGTCGCGACACGACGAAAAAATGTCACGGGAAAAGAAAACGGACCCTTAAGACTCCGCTGGCTCGACTTTCGCGTCTGCGAAATTCGGTCACGAAATTTTACTGACCTTTTCGATGCGGTGTGCCGAACACCGATTTCAAATCGTGAAATCTAGCATTCGCGACTGTTCACGGACGTTCGATACACCTGCGAACGTTAGAGTCTCGATCGGTGTAGAATCTTGATTCGCCTCGATATTTGGGTCACTCGAAAACTTTCAGATAGTCCGCGATGTTCTTGAAGGATTGGAAACACGGTTAACTCTTGAGAATGTAGACTATCGTATTATAACTTTAAGTCTAAATTGATCCGTTTACGTAATAAATTTTATAGAACTTTAAACTGAGTCTGCGGAACTATTTTGAGATACTTTGAAGTTATCAAATCGTGTTACACTCGGCGCGATTCGAAATCGGTCACTGCTCGCTGCAGCTGGCAAACCGCCACTATATCAAAAACCTTAATGAATGATTCACGTAGTTATTTTCACGAGACTTCGAGTTTCACGCCGATATGCCACAAGTGCTAGTTCGCGGCACTTTTATGACTTCGAAACGTGTCACTTCGAAAATCGATCTTTGCCTTGAACCTCCGAGGAAAATAGACAGATAAGAATTATTATTGATTAACATTGCAACATCTGTTCGGGGATATAACATGTCAGTAAAACAGATATAAGGGGAATAGTGATAAAGTATTCGTCTCGCGTTTCTTTCTAAGCCTCCGAGAATACCACGCCCTACATCGAATCGATTATATCTCGCTACTTGATTAATGGTACACAGAGCTGTAAACGATTCCGGAAACGTGGAATGTGTTACGTACACGTATAAGCACGAAGCTCACCGAAATCGCGAATTCCTGTCGATCCGCGTGAATCTCCGCGAAACAAACGAAAGTCTAGATCGAGTTGCTCCGTCCAACTTGAGGCTGAGTTAAATAACCATTTCAATGAATTCCTTCAAGTACCTAACCACGAGTTTGTTCGAAGAAGCAAGTGGAACGGAAAACGAATTCAACGAACGAGGCGGGTTACGCGCGAAACGAGTACAAACAATCAGCCGGCATTGTATATGTGCCTCATCGAATCAATATCAATCGAACGAGGAGAAAAAAAAAACATGGCGAAAAACCCCATGAAAATTTGTGTAGTTGTCATAAAAATCATACCGTTCGAGCTTCGATGCAAATAAACTTCGGCAACGAACTGCAAATCGATTCGGAGCGTAATTTACTTTGTTCCATTCACGAGCGAGCGTGTAGGTCGATAAACAAACGTCTGTAAATATTAACGAACAATAAGTTTTCCTTTCTCTCGTCACGTTTGTTTTTATCGGATTGAAATAGAATAAAAAGGAAGCGAGAGGAAGTAGCGGTTCATCGCGAGGATTATTAATTTAGTTTCCATCGTCGGCGCATCCAGGAGAAATATTTGTTTCATAAAAGCGTCGTTTTAATTAAAACGGGTTTCCTTGGTGGCGGGCCGCGCATCACGGCTGCCATGCAGTCTTCCATTCGATTTACATCTCGTTTAAATTATTATTAAAAGTCCTCCCTCGTACGCGCGCGCGCATAATGCACGGACGCGAAATAACTCTTTAGAATTTAATGAATCGCGAATGAGACACCCGGTAAGTATTCATATTCGTACTTTAAAAGCGCTCGTCTATGGTTAGCGCGAGGCGACGTTATCTTGCGCCCCGTTTCAACAGCAAACACGAACCTGCGCGACGGATGAATCTTTGAATCATGCCATCCAGAATCCTGTCAATTTATGTATTTTCAACTTGTCG